GTGGGCACACTTGCCCTAAAGCTGGAGAAAAGCTGGACTCGAGCAGGGGGCAGGGTGGAGGAGGCTTGGGAGGGCGGCCTCGGGCTGCGCCACGCAGTCGGATCTTCCCTCCCTCCCGCCCTGCCCCCTCCGCGCCCGCCCAGCCCCCTCCACCCTGCAGGTGGCCCATAGGGCACAAGGTGAGGCAGGACTGGACAGCTCCTGCTTTGATCTCCGGGCTTCAGGTCCCTCTACAGCTGCCCAGCTGCCCAGCTGCCCAGAGATCCCCAAACTTTTGCCCACGTCGGAGTCGGCAAAGCGCTCCGACGTGTCCAAAAGTGTTTCCAAACTTGGAAAGGGCGGGGGGAGGCGGGTGGATGGGGAGGGAGGAGGTATGCAGACAGCGAGTCAGAGTTTCCCCTCGAAAGCCTCAAAAGTGTCCACGTCCTCAAAAAGAATGGAACCAATTTAAGAAGCCAGCCCCGTGGCCACGTCCCTCCCCCACTTCGCTCCCTCCTCTGCGCCCCCGCAGTCTCCTCCCAGTGTGGCTGCCCGGGCCCCCAGCCCCAGCCCTCTCATTGGCGGAGGCGCTTTTGGAGGCACCCTCGGGCCAGGGAAACTTTTGCCATATAAATAGGGCAGATCCCGGCTTTATTATTTTAGCACCACGGCGGCAGGAGGTTTCGGCTAAGTTGGAGGTACTGGCCGCGACTGCATGCCTGCTCCTGCCAGGTGATACCTCCGTCGGTGACCCAGGGGCTCTGCGACACAAGGAGTCTGCATGTCTAAGTGGTAGACATGCTCAGCTTTGTGGATACGCGGACTTTGTTGCTGCTTGCAGTAACTTCGTGCCTAGCAACATGCCAATGTAAGTGCCTTCAGCTTGTTCGGGGAGATGGGGGAGAGAAGTTAGATGGGTGGACGCCCTGGTCTGAAAAGGGGAAACCTAAACCTCAATTCCTTGCACAGCTTGGAGGGAAGGCTCTCTGGCTTGTGGAGAAACGCTGGAATTGATCAGGAACATGGAAAGTACTTTAAAAATGAAAACATGAAGGATTCAACAACTCTCCCTACAAGTTAGGAACTTTTAACTCAGTAACACAGTTAACTTAATCTGGATCCTCAGTTAGAGAAGCGCACAGGGAGCAGAAGGTCTTTTCCCCTAAGGATGAGCTAGCTATTAACAACTGACTTGGCGGAAAAAAAAAAAAAATACAGGCCTACACCAGTTATGTCCCATAACTATCCTCATACATACATTTTAAGACTTGAGGCCTGCTTTAGAAAGCCTTTTAATTCAATCATACAAAGCTCAACCATTGAACTTATCTTCTGGTCGTCTTGAGGTTGGTCTGGATGATGGTGATGATGGTGGTGGTGGTGGCGATGGTGATACGGCGCCCTCTGGAGGGGGGAACATGAAAGTACAGGGGACCAGGCCTTAAGCTAATGGAATCCCAATTTAAGACTCCACAGGTTTGTACAAAATTATTTAATTTCTGGTTGGAGACATTCCCAGTGGCTAGTCAGCATATCCTGCGAAGGATTCTACTTGGAGTGGACACCTTCTAGGAAGTAAAATTAGCTTCTCAACAATTTATATGGTAATGGGAATGGTGAAATTATATTTAACTAAAATTTACTTTACCTTTTGAGTCTTGGAGTTGACCCTAAACCTAAATAGATGATCACTGTTCCTAGTGATCATCAAACGCTGAGCACAGCAGGTTGGGAAATACCAACCTTGTCTTGAGACTCAAGGGACAGGGTTCTTCTTCCCATGACCTTGGGCTACTCAAACTGGGCCTGTTCCAAAATGTGGAGTGGAGCTAAATGGTCTCCAAGGTCACTTCTTGGTTTGGATTTTATGGCCAGTCTTCCACGTCAGGATAGAATGAAGAAAATCAGTCCGTTTTCATCTTAAAAATGGCTGCCTGATTACTACTACTAGACAAAGACGTTCACTTGAGACGGGATGAGGGGGATCAGGCCACACCCAACACTTCAAAAACTTGCTCCGCCCACATGCCACGGTGTCTTCCACTGCATTCTTACTGATGCATTTCTGTGGGTGTGGGTGTGTGTGTGTGTTTGTGTGCGCGGTCGCGCAATTTCCCTTCAGCCACTTTTAGTATACACACTGTGGATACCAAGGAGTAAATTCATTGAACAGATTCACATTACCAAGTTCGTTTTTTTATGGAAACTGAAGAGTGGAAGGGAAGAGTTGAGTCCTATAGGAAAAATTGGAAAGTGAACTAGGGAAGTTTGAAGGCACCCATGGCATCTCACCTAATCAACAGTTATCCAGCATCTGTAATAAAGGTTACCAAACACACATTCTTCAAAATGGCTCACATCTAAGTAATTAAAAGGGCAAATTTCCAAAATCTTAAGGGGTCTTATTAATCAAATGGAGCCTAATCGGTCTTCCTATTTATTAATGGACACAAAGAAGTAAACATAGCATTTTTATAATTTAACAGTAATTCTCATAAATTGCCCTTAAATGCCAGTGCTGGATATCGCCCACCCTCCTGAACTGTGACTGTTGCAAGAGATGTTCTCACTTCAAATGACACACTTCTTGGCCACCTAATTAAAGCAATTTTTAGGGGTGATTCATTCTATTGGAAGCTTAGCCACACTTGTATCCCATATTAACCCATAATTTTTATACTGTAGAAATGAAAGTCAGTCTTTAAAGACTGAAAAGTAGTAATGACAAAGGAGGAATTTTACTTTAGTTTGTTTTTCCCATTATATTTCAAGCTCTACAACCCTTTCTTAGAGACAAAGCGACACATGTTAGGAAAATGGCATTGGCTAATTTAAGTGAACTAATTTAAAGCCAAAACTCAGATGTCTGAATTAATCCATTTTCATAGTTACTAACGTACAAATTAGACCTTAAAAAAAAAAGACATTGAAAATGGTAAAAACTTAGTGAACTACTAAGTGATGTTAATGTTTTATAAAAGACAAAGTCTGCTTTAGCTAACAAACTTTCCTAAATTTTCTGTTTTTGACATATAAATATTAAAAATGATCTAAACCATAAATTATTTCCTCCTCCATCCACTGGTCTTGTCTTACAGTCAGTGATTCATCTGTGCAATTTCCAGCCTAATTGCTAAGCATTAGAAATATCCTTCAGACACATGAATATTTCACAGCATTTATAAAATAGTAAATAATTAACAATTTCATTCAAAATATATTTACATATTAATATAGCAAACAAATCACCCTGCTGATCCCTGCCATATTTTTTGACCTGCATAATTTCCAAGTCATTATAATATTCTTAATAAAAAATATAATTGGCCCTTTAATTAGGTAACTGAATTTTGTAAACTTGTGTATCTATTTGGCAATTACTGTTAATGATCAATGAAATTATACTAATAATAATTTTCTACTTTTCTCTTTTCTCTACAGCTTTACAAGAGGTTAGTAAAATTATATTTATAAAAAAATTATCTACTTTGATTTCCTTGGTCATAGTGATTGCTTCTCTGGGAAGGGAAGGTGAAGCTACCCTGGTATTGACTAACCCAGCTTCCAAAGAAAACCATGAGATATTATGGGAGTCAAACCCTTTTTGGCTTCCAGAGTAAGTGCCCACCCCATTTTCCAAAATGGGTGGTGCTTCTGCATAAGGGTAGTTTCATAAAATACCCATGAGAAATAGAAAGAGTAAATAATCCAGTTTAAGTAGCATTAGCTACTACAAAGGATAAGACTTCACTGAACTACAGAATTTTTCATTTCTTTGCAAAATAATTATGAGCAAATTCTTTGTGAATTGAACTTGCAGCAGTATTATAGATAAGTATACATATTTGTTTATGTACAAAATACATTTTATTTAACGTATTGGTAAAAGTTTACATTGTATTTTGAGAGTAGATTAAGATAATAGTAAATGGGCATATAATGCAATCTGTAGATATAATTGTTTTTAAAATATATATGTATATATAGTTCTCATAATAATCTTTTACTTATTCTTTTTTTTTCTAGGGAACTGCAAAAAAGGTAAGATAAATATCCATAAATATCTGAGATTATCAAGATACCTTAGTTTAACAAAATTTAAAGTAAACTATAAAAGGAAAATACTTTGTCAAGATTTTGCCCACATGAATATGCATTAGTTGAAACATAAAGTAGCTTTGATGTTTAAGGTAATAAAGTTTTATTACCTTTCAAAATATCATCTCTAATTATATTTATGTTATACAAACTGATTATTTATATACTACAGGAAAAAAGACTTTTTTCTTGAAGATTGAATGGTATTATGTTAATTAAAGGTAGTAAACAAAAGTTATTTTAAAGAACTTTGACTATACAAATATGCTGTTAAACTGTAACAAAATGGTCATCTTATCTATAGTAATCATCTTATTAAAAATACTATGCTTAATATTGGCCTAATTACTAGAGACTATAGCAGCCTCCAGTTCTTCAGTTTTTTAAAAAAAAATTACATATAATTATAATAAAAGCAATATACTTTTATCTATTGTATTGTGACAATTTTTAGCTACTATCTAATAATGTTGGGCTTAGGTCAGACTTACCAACTAATTATTATTCATAATGGCCTGTTTCTTTGCTGGAAATTATTTAGACACCTATTATTGTGCCGTTTGCATCTTCCTTGTAGGGCCCAACTGGAGATAGAGGACCACGTGGAGAAAGGGTATGTAATTTTTGAACTACTAAATGGCTTTAGCCCATATTGGAAAAACCACATATTAGAAACTAAAGGAGACTGACAATTCATTAGAATATTATGTATCCAGATAATTGTGCCACCTTTTAAATAGGAAATGCCCTGCCGAAAGGGTGAATGAGCATTATTATATATAATCAATATTCTTTTTAGGTCAACATTATCTTTTAAAAAGAAAAACTATTACAGACAGCCATATTCTTTGTGTGGTCTTTCTTTCTTTGTTTTTAATGGACCTGCCCGACACATACATAATGGCAATGTATCTACACACCACCACACAGTCCTCTTTTTAATATGTTCTGTTTGCTTTTGAAGTAAGATCTCTTCTATGGCTTGGGAATAATAATAAAGTGATAGTCAGTAACATGTTTCTCTGTCTAAATTCATACATGTACAAGTCAGCCTTACATTTTATTTGTGGCTTTCTTAGATCTCCCTGAAATGCTTACTTGACATTTATAATAACTACAAGATTTTGCGTTATAGGATACTTTCGTTAAGACATAAATGCTGATATCTCATATTAGTCCTGAAATGCAGATTTACATGTATTCCACTCAAACAATTTATTAGAGATAAATTATTTCAGTTAATTACCTTAACAACTTAAATTGTATTCGTAATAGGAAATCTTCAAGATTTTCTATATTCTGATAAAATTACTATCAATTAATCTACTATTCACATTTAACATACCAAATTGCTTGAATGCCTTCATCAAGATCAGAAATCAGCCATCAACAAACATAGTATATTTTTGTGCATTGTGAAAAATGAAGGGCATACACTTTAGCTATAATTTCTATCTTCGTTTGAATACTGGACCTCCATTTCAAATTAATATTCCATGACTAAGATATTCCTTTAGGAAAACTACCTGCTGTTACTAAAGTTTATTCTAAAGTTTGTTCTAAGACAGACCCATACCTAAGTACATTTCAGTGAATGATAAATACAGTGTATTAAATTTCCACCCTTCATGTACATTGAAAAGTCTGAACAACTACTTTTACCTTATGTATTCTTAGGTCTCCTTTTCATTTACTGCATAGGGTTCCATGGAACCTGTCTAATCCTATTTTAATTCACTCTATACACAACAGGGTCCACCAGGCCCCCCAGGCAAAAATGGTGAAGATGGCCCCAATGGCCCTCCTGGTCCACCTGGCCCTCCTGGCCCCCCTGGTCTTGGCGGGGTAAGGTGTCTTAAGTACTTTTAACTTTTTATAACTTAGTTTCTTATACTTCTGTTGGAAGAAGGCTTATTATAGAATTTATTTTTAGCAATTAAGGGAAAGTCTGCTCTTTGGAAATTAGTATATTTTATTTCATTTCTTGGGTTTCTTCATTCAAGTTTCTGCTTTGCCTGTTCTCTTTGTGAACTCTTGTCAATTATAGGACTGGTCTTTGTGTTCACTGAAGGTAGCTGCAGCCATCAGCGCCATTATTTAATTTGGGGATTTAATATCTTTTTTCAGTAAGGCACAAATAAGAGGTGTTGCATTATTAAAGAGTTTGATTAGATTGAATTACATAAGTGAAATCCCTGATCTTAAGCAATTTCACAAACATCCTACCCTTTTTATTCTTCTTGGCTTGAAGTCTGCTGAACCAACATTCAAAGTGGTTTTAGGTTTAATTTGCTTGAAACTAATTTGAGAAAAGTACATTTCCCTTTTTCATTAATATCTTCTTTTAGCTTTATGTCTTTAACAATGGTATGAGTGCCAAATGGCCTCACTGCAGGAAGGAAAACATATTTGCTTAATTGGTTAGCACTATGAATCAGAAGCCTGATTCTAATACCCAACTGTATGCCAGTAAAATAAGACCTTTCTCCCCAAAGATCTTATTATGATTGCTTATCTACTGAGTACATTAAAAAGCACCTTCTTTAATAGAGCTACCACTCTAAGAGAGATCTTTAACAGTAAAGTTATTACTGTGAACTATTTTTTAAAAGTTTAATCTTCCAAGGGGCATTTTAATTTAATTTTCGTCTAAACTTGAAAACTTTTTATATCCTTTCTGAAACTCCAGCAAGAAAAAGGTCTTTCAGTTATTTTTTTGTGAGTTTTGTAGGAAAGGGCAACAGGTGAAAATGCAAAGGTGTCCTCTTGATCTCTGCTTAATTTATTCATGGCTCTAGGACACTTTAGAAGTTTAAGAAGTTTCCCTTTCTCACTGCAGATGTAGGTAAGGGTTAGGGGCAAATAAACTGAGTTAACAGAGCAGAAGAAAGTATGAAAAATAAGACAGGAAGGCTCTGAACTTCAGACTAGGTGTGGACTCTATTTTAAACTTATATTTCTCCTGAGTTTTTAGAAATCTAATTCAGTTTGGAATTGTAAACTAATTATAGCAACAAAAAAAAAACCTTTATAAGTAGAATAGAAAAAATGAGCTACATTGACCAGTAAAAAACATATATATATATATATATATATATATATATATACACATGTACTTTTTTTTCACCCTTCTAGCACTTTGCTGCTCAGTATGATGGAAAAGGAGTTGGAATGGGCCCTGGACCAATGGTATGCTTATCTCTTTTTGTCTTGGCAAGAATGTATACTATTTAGAATTTATTTTATAGTAAATTTTGCAGTGCCATACATTTAGCTACTTAGGTAAACATTCAAACCTTAGATAAAATAAAAATAATAATTCTTTCTGTGTTTAAGTATATCAAAACCCAAGCCTAGGTTAAATATGTCAATTTTCTCTACAAACAAGCCTCATTAAAATAGCTTAGCCAATAAATTTTTTAAAAATAAAGTATAATAAAATAAGTGAGATATTTATGTCCAAGAAATAATCTTTGGATGTCATAACCATAACTTAGGAAAATCAGTTTCATTCAAAATATTAAAATTTCCATTCACTTTTTTTTTACATTTCTTAACATTGTTTAGAATATTAAGCAACACTTAGAAATATAGAGCTATTTATTTCTTAAGTTCCCTGAACTTGGTGGAAAGGATCAACAAGTTCTAATCTGGTTCATTTATTTTATGACTAGAGACTTCAATCCCTTTTCCCAAGGTCATGCAGAACTAGAATTAACCACCAAGCAAGATGTAAGGTAGCCAACAACAGCGTGGCTCATGTTCCTAGTTCTCATATATAATGTTCATTTAATCACAAGAGTTTTATCAGAGGCATTCAATGGGATATTAATGGTAGTATGTATTTGGAGAGATAGTCATGAATGAATGAATGAATGAATGAATGACAGATTCTGACTCTCCCTCAAGGAGTTGACAATGTTAGAATTTTTTCTTTATTCTCCATTTTGATAAAAAAACCCTATTGTTAGAATATCAATGACAAATTGATGTAGAAGACAATATGAGTAAAATTTAGCCCTTCTATCACTCAGCACAAAATATGGAAACATATCCTATCATTTGAGTAAAAGTTTATAAAAATTCCATAGGAGCTTATGTTGGTGACGGTGACCTTTTGAACAAATGAAGCCTCTACCAAATATTAGTGAGATGTGTTAGGCAAAAAAATGATATGATCATGCAAAATGTATACTATATATATATGCAAATGAGGGGGAAATTACCAGCAGTAAAAAATATTAGTTTGATTAAGCATTGCAGAATTTAATACACATAGATACACACACAATTTGGTGATTCTAATTACTTGTTTCCAAAGATATTTATCTGCCCAAAGTGAGTATGGTCTTTAAAATATAAATCTTACCTGGACCACGCATTTAGTGCTCTGTATTCAAAAGATATTCTACTGGAACTAATGGTCCGCAATAAGCTAATATACTATAAGGGCAAGATAATATTTTCTGTAAATTAAAATCTGACTTGAGAAATAATGTACCTTTAATTGATGTTTTCCAATTTCATGATTTTTCCTGGTAATTTAGAATGCTCATATCTTAAATGAATATGTATGTGGGGGGTTTCTTTTGGCTTTGTTTGTATTGGATGTATGAAATTAGCTGTTTCTGCTAATGCCGGACATTAGTTAGTTGTGAAGCAGTACCTATTTCTCAAGAAGAAGCAAAGGGGGAAATAAAATAAAGTGACTGTGGATGTCATTTTAAAACCAAAAGCACATATCAACTGGGAAAATTAATATGGATTTCAGATTCCCCTGTCTTTGGAAAATCTCTCTGGGGGGCATAAAGCAGAGTATTTTACTTTTAAATATCAGTGAAATATAATTGAAGCTTGCACATCCACACACATGCTCAGACATATGTAATCAACAGATATGTGTTTCACAAAAAGGGAAGATAGGCAACAATAAAGCATTAAAATAATTTTCCATGTTGGAAAATCAATAACTCTAAAACCCCACAGGGTTCTTTTCTGAATTAATGAGTAATCATAGTGTGTCTCACAGTCCCTACAAAATAAACTACCTTTTATGTAAATGAAATTGTTGCAAATACATGGAAAAATGAATAAATACAATATTAAAAATTTATGATGGCAAAGGAAATTATTTGAATGTATATCTAAAAATTATTTTTATTGAAGAGAGACAGCTTCTTTTAATGTTGAAGCACATTTCCAAAACCAAATAAATAATTTCTATAATTAAAATAATGTGCATTTTAAATAACATTTATAGGGTTTCACTATAGGCATTAATATAGTGGGGCCATTTGACTGGTCCCCTCAGTTGATCTGTCATAAACAAATTGCTCAAGACATGCAGGAGAAATATTTTCAGCATTATGAGGGATGGGTCTCACCGATGAGCTCATCCAGGCATTGATTACTGCAAAGGGGGGTCAAGAGTATGTATTCATCTTGCAAACCAGTAATATTCTGTTTTACCTTCTTTGGGTATTACAAAATAAAGAACAACGGGGAAACAATCTGCTGTCATTTGGGCCATATTTTCAATACTAATATCATAGGCTGGACTCTTCCAGTAGGCTGTTTCAATAATATTTCATTGTTCTTTCACCCCTCATTACATCCACTTTCCTTTGACATTTTCATCAGTCACCAACAGCCCTGAAAGGAGCTATAAGGTTATAACGCACCTCCCTGTAATCATTAAGAAGGACTTTTGATTCTTTTCAATTTATGCCCCTTGTGGCAATAAAAATATCAATTTCTTAGCTAAGTATGACATTGGAAGATGACATATGATCAAGGGAATCTAAATGAAATTCTTTGTCAGCTGATAGAAGGCATTCATACATTCTGTACTTGTGCAAAGACCAATTCACTTCATTGCATCAGAACAACCTCAATATGCACAATTGTGCACAATTTTAAGGGAACGATGACCATCCTATCCAGAGCTCATTGAGTTTCACTAATTCAGGTTGAGATAAAAGGAGAATCAAAGGGAGAGAAAGTGGGGAAAACATGGGTTCTTTGGAAAGAACAAAAATATGAAATAAAATCAGGACAGTTCTGTTCATTTGTCTATCACAAAATATCTGTGACACAGTAGTGTCTTAGCTAATTCATCCAAGGCCATGACAACTTATCAGTGCTAACCATGTCTGTCATCTTTGTAGGGTTTAATGGGACCTAGAGGCCCTCCAGGTGCAGCTGGAGCCCCTGTAAGTATGGAAAGCTCATAATCTTTCTTCTGCAAAAAGAGAGAATTAAAAAATAAAGTTTGGAATGTTACTTTTATTTTTCTTCTTTTAGGGCCCTCAAGGTTTCCAAGGACCTGCTGGTGAGCCTGGTGAACCTGGTCAGACTGTGAGTACATTTTTTATTCCTTTGTGATAAATATTTTTCAGGAAATTTGGACATATTCCCTTAACTAAATAATGAGTCTCCTCTTTCCTTAGGGTCCTGCAGGTGCTCGTGGTCCACCTGGTGCTCCTGGCAAGGCTGGTGAGGATGTAAGTGCTTACCTGAAGGACTTCCAAAACACCATTTAAATACCTCATATCTAAATTTAATATTCTTCCAAAATATGCTTGACATAATTCTCCTCATATGGGAAATATTATTGTTAATGAAATGTTAATTAACTTGCTTGTATTTAGGGAAATATAATTGTTAATTAAAGAAGTACTTGAATTCACATTTTTATGTGATACCTTTCTCATCTATTGTGAAAAACCGAGATGCCCCTACTTTTGTCTGATGGTTTACCAAGTTGAGGTTGACCCTATGATGCTTTCATGTTTTAGGGTCACCCTGGAAAACCTGGACGACCCGGTGAGAGAGGAGTTGTTGGACCACAGGTGAGACTTTTTACAACAGTGTATAATCCAAACGTCAGAGGTCTCACAGATAAGATAGTTGCTCAGGCAGACATCCATCTAAATAGTACTGTAGACATTACTCATGCTTGTCACACTACTTAAAGGCATCTGATAGAACCTGGGAAAAGAACGCATACATTTCTATTAATGCAAATAATGTAATATAATGGTAACAAGCGTGCATAAGCAAGAAAGCTGTTTTCCATAAATAACATAGTCTTAGCTGTTTCATGTTAGAGCTAGTTGTGGCTCTGTGCTTTAAAACATTATAGCCTTTGATTCCAAGATTGAACTTAAGTGAGAATTTCTTGGGAAGGAGGAAGTCATTGTCCTTTCATTTGTGCCAAAAATATTTATTATTCATGTTCTTCTGTGTTTCTTTCTAAGGGTGCTCGTGGTTTCCCTGGAACTCCTGGACTTCCTGGCTTCAAGGGCATTAGGGTGAGCACATTCTTTGCCCAGATGAGAAAAAAAAATGCTGATTATTTGGGCTGGGGTGGGGATGGAGGGTGGGGGGGTTCAATTGTATTTAAACTCCTGGATGACACATTCTTGCTTCCACATTCTGGGAATTTGTTTAGATGACTTACCTGGTGCCCTGGATCCAGCTCACCTGGAGCTAGAGCACTGGAGTCCATCCTAAGAAAGCAGTCACAGGATTCACCAGAGAGATATTTATTGCAAAGATAGAAGATTTTTGATTTGAGAAAGTACTATAATGGGATAGCATTTAATAATAAGGATTGCCTTTCAGGGACACAATGGTCTGGATGGATTGAAGGGACAGCCTGGTGCTCAAGGTGTAAAGGTAAATATTGAATTAGAAAGTTTGTAAACAACTTATTAAAATTCCCCATTCCATAAACAAAAAGTATATTTATGCTGAGGACTACCCAAATTGTAAATGGTATCTTGTCTCCTCTTCTGTGTTTCAACCCCCCTCAATGGTGTGGACTATGAGATTCTATGACAAAAGGCCAATTATTAATGTTTATTTAGTTTAATATCTATTAAACAGTTGAGACAAAAATAATGTCAATAGTTTCTTCCTCCATTTCCTTTCCTCTTCCTATAATCTCAATCGATCTCTGCAACCAAAATAAAAGTAAATAAACATATAATCAGATATTAGAATACTACGTGTTATTTTAAACTGTAACTTCTCCTTTGCCATGCACTAATTAGATAGGTACATTCATGTCACAATACACTTTTCAACCTCTTTCCTGTGATTTATCTGTGCACACTCAAAAAATTTTTAATTAGGTAATTAAAGTCTCAGAAGTGTGTTATCTCTTGGCTAGGCTCTTCTCTGACAGCGTTTTCAACTATAAAATGTTCTCTTTCCTATTAAGGAGATAATGTGATATTAAAGTGAATACCAACGTAATTACAAATTAATGAGTAACGAATACTAGCGGGACCAGAAATGAACATGAATATGGAGAATCTGTTCTAACTTTCCAGCTGCCACACAAATGGATAAGGTCAAACTCATTCTCCCAGGGGCCCAATATAACAGCTCAGACTACTAATCACAGTATCATAAAGTGTGAGGGCTGCAGGAGCTTTGTAGACTCCCTCATTTTTTGCAGAAGAGGGAAACTGAGGCTTGACAAGAGCTAGTGACTCTCCCAAAGTCACACATCTAGTGGCTGGAAGGGCACATGCTAAAACTCCTGATGCTCATTTCAGGACTTATTCATAACTAACTTGCTTCAGGTAGAATCCTACAAATGAAGATCCTTAATGGTCTCATATAGCATGTTCTTTCCATATCTAAATCAGATTATATTGAAGGAAAGTTCTTTACATGTGCCATAGGATTAAATCACCCCACCACTGCCACTGCCACCATGGTCACTACTAGGGATAAAAATATAGATCGGAAATAAGTATCGTAGCTCTAAAATATATTATGAAGCTTCAAATTGTCTTTCACATTTTATGAAAATGGTAAGGTTGAGTGTTCAAAATAATTTTAAAGAGGATAAATATGATTATACTGCCATCTCTATTTTATATTATCATGCCAAATAAATAAGCCTAGTCTAAATGATGTTCAGTATATTAAGAGAAAAATGGGACACTAAGGAAATAACCACATTTCCTTAGTACCATGACATTTAGTATGTTTAAATAAAAACTTGTATTTCAACAAATTTTAAAAACACACATGTGAGAGATAATTGAGAAATAATCTTTATGTGTAAAAAAACATTAAAAATTATGTGAATGGTTCAAATTGAAATAATAGGGTCAAAAATTGCACAATCAGGAAATATATATATTTTTTTCTGACATATATATATATATCAGAAACTCAATCTTTCTTCTCCACGCAGGGTGAACCCGGTGCCCCAGGTGAAAATGGAACTCCAGGTCAAGCAGTAAGTATTTATTACTTTATTATAAATCTAAAGGTGTTGTGCTCTGTGTGAACTAGAACTTCCTTGATGTTGTTGCTAGTTACCCTTTCCCTCAGCACTGTATTCTTTGATATGTTCCTAATCTGCATACTTAATCAAACTATACTCCCTTTAAGTTGGTATCAGAATAAGACCTATTAATTTTTAGTGGTTTTTTGTGTGTGTTAAAAAAATGAACAAGGCAAATTATGCCTATGACATTTTAAAGATTAGCATTCTGGATTTTACTAAAAAGATTTCTGCTTCTAGGGTGCCCGTGGGCTTCCTGGTGAGAGAGGACGTGTCGGTGCCCCTGGCCCAGCTGTAAGTATCCCATTTTTGTTTGTTTTTATACCCTTTTTAAAAATAATCTTCTAATGGCTTCCCTTTAACTTTCCTATTGACTCTTTTTCTTATTTTCTTCATAGGGTGCCCGAGGCAGTGATGGCAGTGTTGGTCCCGTGGGTCCTGCTGTAAGTGTTAACACTGGGGAATTTGGGAGGGTTGAAAGTGTGGTGGTGGTAGCCACTTCCCTCACTCATTTCCCATGAAATAACATCACTCCAGACACTTTACCAAATGTTCTGGGAGATCTTTGAAGTCTCCATTTATAAGTTGCATAGCCTACTTCCAAATACCTGAGGCTATGGGTGGATGTGTAAAGTGAAATCCACCCTACCTTGGATACCTGTTTTGCCTTCCCTGAATATGACCCTCATGTCTAAGGCTAGCAGCCAATTCTTTCTTTGCCAATATTAAATAAGATCAAGACACTCTAAACGGCTTCTCTCTTCTGTTGCTGTTGCCTTTTCAGTTTACTTAGAGGAAACTTCTTTTTCTGCTTTGATTCCAGGGTCCTATTGGATCTGCTGGCCCCCCAGGCTTCCCAGGTGCCCCTGGTCCCAAGGTAAAAACACTAGTGCCTATAATCATTGCCTTGATAGACTTTTTACTCTGATGTGAAAGATCAGAATGGTGGTGGCAGAGATAATTACAGAATAGTTACCTTAATTGTGTCCCCTTCAAAATGGATAGACGATGATGGATTTTCCACTTCAAGTTCAAAATCAATCATCTCCCTGCACTTGTAAACTATGAGCATAAAGATCAGTGGCAATGTGGAAATTGATTCCATTGGGTCCCAGACTAGTCAGCACTGAGAACTAGTGGGCCACAGAGAGTCAGAGGTGGAGTCAAGGTAGCAATGATAGCAACAGGTAGTAATCTGAATTCCGCCAAGTGGCAGAAGTAGGCTTAAAAAAAAAAAAGTAGGAAAAGAACCCCAAATCTTGGGGTTACAAATGAGATAAGGAAAATGATTGCAATTCTGAAGAAGTTCCACCAAAATTTGGTGTCCTAATAACAGGGATATGCTGTTTCATTATTTGCTGGCCGATGGTTCATTGTCATTTTCTCTTTTAGGGTGAAATTGGACCTGTGGGTAACCCCGGTCCTTCTGGTCCTGCTGGTCCTCGTGGTGAAGTGGGTCTTCCTGGTCTTTCTGGCCCAGTTGGACCTCCTGTAAGTAGCTGTTGTTGTTAATCTTATAAAGTAGAAGAAGGCAAGGAAAAAAAAATGAAAAAGAGAAATGAAGGTGGAATTGAAGAAGATCAGATATATTCCAGTGAATTGATATCCTTCTTCCTCTTTCTCATAGGGTAATCCTGGAGCCAATGGCCTTACTGGTGCTAAGGGTGCCGCTGTGAGTATACCTGGGTAGCTAAAACGTGCTGCTATGGTTTCAAAGAAATTTGATAAGTGCTGCCTCTACAGCTCATCATCACATGATGGACCAGGTTTTGCTTTCCTTCAACAGGGTCTTCCTGGTGTTGCTGGGGCTCCTGGCCTCCCTGGCCCCCGTGGTATTCCTGGTCCTGTTGGTGCTGCTGGTGCTACTGGTGCCAGAGGACTTGTTGTAAGTGGTCATAGCTGTGGCTTTCATCATCCTGAAATACTAGGGCTACCATCATTTTATCACTATCTAGACTTTTTCTTACCAGTTTTATTTTTCCTTCGTTGGCATTTTTAGTTTGTAAACTGTATGCATATGTATGTACATTCCCTCTTCCTCGCATGCACACAGATGCATTCCTCCTGCAATCATCCGAACCTTAATGTAAAAATAGATGAGACCAAGTCCTACAACCTCAGTCTGATCCTTCCACCAATGCTATTCCCCTGTAGGCCATTTGAGCATGAACTGGGTCATACTGAAATCCCTTAGAGAACCTAAGCTTCTCCTTACCTTAACTTATAAATATTCCAGAAAATTTGTCTGCAAGAGAGTTTTGACATATGTTTGGTTTTTGACCACTGTTTTGTATTGGTTCCTAGGGTGAGCCTGGTCCAGCTGGCTCCAAAGGAGAGAGTGGTAACAAGGGAGAGCCAGTAAGTAGTTCTATAACCACAATTCTGTGGGGTTGTTATCCTTGAAATCCAGTTTCTTTAGCTGGATATAATATTTTAAAAAAATCTTTTCTCTTCTCTTCTCCTATTCTTTTCACTCAACAGGGTTCTGCTGGCCCCCAAGGTCCTCCTGGTCCCAGTGGTGAAGAAGGAAAGAGAGGCCCCAATGGTGAACCTGGATCCGCTGGTCCTGCAGGACCTCCTGGACTGAGAGTAGGTTCCATATACTCCTTAACACCTAGATACTCCAGAGGCAGATGAGGATACCCCTTCATTGGAAATTGTCAAAATTACTGGGAGTGCTTTTTCTAGACGAAAGAAGCATCTGCTTTCCATCTGTTTTATTAAATCAGTGACTCCCAATTTGGTATGTTTTTAAATTGGTCTGAAAACAATGTTGACCTACTTTTGCAGGATGCTCATCCACGCATTCCTTTGGGGTTTGGGTGAAGTGATTTGGCTTGGTTTGTGTCTGTATCTCAGCCTTGGGGAGATACAGACACAAAACATGCCATGTTTTCATAAACTGTGCCTGATCAGATTCCAGGGTTTTCTCTAATTCCCTCCTGTTTCATGTACTTTCTTGCAGGGTAATCCTGGTTCTCGTGGTCTTCCTGGAGCTGATGGCAGAGCTGGTGTCATGGTTAGTAGTCTACCCCTCATTTCCCTGGAAGGAACTTGACACTCTTCTGGTGACTGTGTCACTAACTTTATCATTTTCTCTCTGTGCCCCTTCCTTTTCAATAGGGACCTCCTGGTAATCGTGGTGCAACTGGCCCTGCTGGAGTTCGAGGTCCCAACGGAGACTCTGGTCGCCCTGGGGAGCCTGGTCTCATGGGACCCAGAGTAAGTTTCAGATATATTCTGAGCAAGTCACATCTGGCAGTGTGTATTGTTGGCTAAAATTGAAGATAACAAAAACATCTAAAGCAAATTTGTTGCTAGACTTGCCGACAGATGTCTTTTTAATTTAATTTTTAATTTAACTTTATCAAAGCTCTGTAGATTTTTTAATGTATTTAGTTAGTTCATCAATTTCCTATTTATTATACTTGATACAATGGCTTGATCTATTCTTTGGAAACATAGATCTAGTTTAATATATCCAAATTAGGTTGATTCTCCTATCAGCATGAATCTTTTATCTTAATTTGTAAGTTTTATATAAGGTGTTCATGAAATGTATTAGGGCTATACATTATTAGTTTATTAGATTCATAAGTGAAATCATTTTTCAAGCAATCACAAAGTGCTGTAATGTATTCAGCATCACACTAGCTATGGAGAAATGACCTTTAGATCTGTAGACACTCTAATCCATAGCAATAGAGTAATTTTTTGCTCCATTATCTCTTATGGGTGAATATCAACTATAATTGTACCATAAACATGTAATAGGGATACCAAATATAGCAATAAAAATCCACTTTGGAAATTGCTTACTAAAAGTATTAGTTTTTCTATTATGAGGTAAATAGCATGATACATTTGCCCATATAGCATGTTGCTTAACAGTTTCTTGTGATATCTATAAATGGATCAGTTTCACTAAAATTCAATAAAGGGAAAGGCACAAAAAATAGAAGAAAAATTTCAGGTCTCTTTTCATATCTCCAGACTTGTGGCTAATATCCCTAAAGATTTACCCTTGGCAACAAACAAAAATTGGAGGGGAAAGTGCTTTTGTGAGATTTCAATTAATCTGAGCCTCAAGTATGTGAGTTAAAGTGCCAATATGAAAGCTTCCTCATTTGTTTTATAGGGTCTTCCTGGATCCCCTGGAAATGTTGGCCCAGCTGGTAAAGAAGGTCCTGTGGTAAGTATTGCTCATTTTCCATTATGTTTTCAAGGACACTTATTGCACCCTTATCAAGTCTATTTTGTGGCTTATTTATACATGAATACATTGAAAATAAATATCAGCCACCTACATCATCTGGGAATGCAAAGTAATAGATTGTAATTATGGAGTCCAAATGAACGCAGGGCTGAAAGCAGAAAAGGGAAGAGAAAAACGTGGCAGGGAAAATTGAAGCAGGTGACAAGGGTACAGAGAGGTGGGGGAGAGAGGGAAATTGTGTACATATGAGATTGAATTGGCCGTGTGTGTACCGACATCCTATTTAGAAAAGGAAAATGGATTCATAATTTATTGGCGCTGTATACAAGAAGCTCTGTGCATCCAGAAAGCTATTCTGTTTTATCCCAGGAAGCATCGTGAGTTTGAGGTAGGGAGGCCATGCTGATGCAGAGTAAACTTTAAATATGAAACTCTGATTTCAGGGTCTCCCTGGTATTGACGGCAGGCCTGGCCCAATTGGCCCAGCTGGAGCAAGAGGCGAAGCTGGCAACATCGGATTCCCCGGACCCAAAGGGCCCACTGTAAGAATCACCACAGCTTCCTCTCCCTCATCAGTTTTTTTTTTTTTTTGCTACACTGCACCAAAGATCTAGTATTTTCTCCCACTTATCAGTCCAAACTACCTCAAGGCATGTTTTTTTCAGCACAGGAAAACTGAAGGGCATCACTATAGTAAAGGGATATATCCTTTACATCCTACTGAAAATCCATCTCCTGAGTCACTGCCTCCTCAGACACAGGTGCCCCTTACTGTACCCAGAGCTGCCTGATGATGGATCATGCCTTAGATAATAGAAATCTAGGACTAGGAATCTAAAACACACACACACACACACACACACACACACACAAGCAAGAAATTAGCATTTCAAAATTGGTATGGCCCATTCGACATTAAATGTGTAATATGATCATTTTTTACTTTGTTTTGTTTTCATTTTTATCGTAGGGTGATCCTGGCAAAAGTGGTGATAAAGGTCACCCTGGACTTGCTGGTGCTCGGGTAGGTGCTAACTGCTGTACATATCTATTCCTGTAGAATTCACCCAAAGAACACACATCCTTTGAGGCCATCTGATATCTTTCTGTCACTTTCTTTCCCAGAGGGTATCCCCAAGGGTCCTTTTACCATCATGAAATGTCTTTTTTTTCTTTAACCACACATATAAAGCAATGAGCTATAACAAATCAGAATATATGTTAAGTCAAAGATACTTACAAAAGCATTTAGTCTTTATTTTATTCATCTTGTGATTAAAAGAATATAAATATTTAGTAGTATTCTCTGGCCTTTATAAATTGCCTTCCATCCGTGGACTTCCCTCGAACCATATGGAAATTTACTAGGCAGTATTCAGGCTTTGGCGAAGTGAGTATAATTCATGCTAAAATGACAAATTTGCTTTGAGGAACTCGCTTCAATGATGCTCGGAAGCATTTTGAACGGCCTGGCTTACGTGTAACCATTGGTCTTTCTGTTGAACATTTCTAGGGTGCTCCTGGTCCTGATGGAAACAATGGTGCTCAGGGGCCCCCTGGACCCCAGGTTGGTATTTCTCCCTCTCCTGTGCACTTCTGCAATAGAATGTACCTAATCCCTCAAAACAACCTTCTCCATTTTCCAGTCCATAAGTAATATAGCTAGACAGCAATGTGGCTAATGTCTCTATTGATACTATCTCTGCTGTCACTTTCAGGGTGTCCAAGGTGGCAAAGGTGAACAGGGTCCGGCTGGTCCTCCAGGCTTCCAGGTGAGTCAAAAAAAAAAATGAAACACTGCCTTGGCCAGATGGTACACCTATGATTCACTGTCTCCTTTCCCCCATCACACATATTATGACTTCAGAACTAAAGCAGAGAGTGCATTTTTTTTTTCAAAACAAACTTTGGTGGAGTGCTTTTATAACACTTAATAGTGTGTTTATAACACCTAATAGGTTGTTTCCCCTCCTACCAAACCCAGAGTATTAGAAAATCCCCTGCATATTATCATAAGATTGAGATTTGTGTTTCTTTGCATTTAGGGTCTGCCTGGCCCCTCAGGTACCGCCGGTGAAGTTGGCAAACCAGGAGAAAGGGTGAGTAAAACAAGTGATAGTAAATTCACTTGAGAATTTCCTTCTGTTTAATGCCCTATTGCAACACAATTACAATATGTAAAGGGAAGTTTCATATTTCATCTGTTAATGATAGTGTTCTGTCTATGTTGGTGCTGAGGGAGAGAGTGAAATGAGTTACTGATATTAGTTCAAATTACTTTGTTTTATGGATTCAATGAAACATCACATTATGAAAGTAAAATCTATCAATGAATATTTCATGTAATAGCCTTACTTTTTGTTTTGTTCTTGGTAATGGTAAAATACAAATTATTTCCTTTTCTAGAGTGAGAACATAAATGCACTGATTTTTCATCAAACTGGACCCTGAAAAATTGCTTTTAATGTTTTTCTTGGCATTCAGACATGACAGTGCTATCCACAATCAGAGCATGAGTTCTGAGTCATTTTCTCTGTAATTGTGATGAATGTGCCTCAATTTAGTTACATTCTGTGGCCTGGTCTCCTTTGTCAACAGTGGGGCACATTAAGGAGACAGCTGGTCAGTAATAAAAGAGATACACTTGGGTATACAATTAACTAGGTAATGTACAGAATATGATAATTTCTATTAAGAAGGCAGTCTGTTATATAGCTAAAAATAGGCAATGTCTGATAGTGTTCATTATTATTTATCATATTATCAAAAGAGATAGTCTGCTTTGTCACTTTTTTAAAGACAATGGACTAAATAATGTAAATTTAAATTTTCTGATACCAGGTCCTGTCCTAGAATAGATACATCTTTGATATCCACGGACTTCTCTTTTTGTAGATTTTCATAGACCACTGAGAGTTCTGTTGTATGTATTGCATTTCCCTCTATACTTAGGCTTTTTATAAGTAGAGCCCACGCAGCTTTATTTCACTTTTTCAGAACCTTTCAAATATCATAATCATAAGTGAATTTAGAAATCACCTATACACTTCATGTTTGACATATTCTTGGATTTTGCCTAGGGTATCCCTGGTGAATTTGGTCTCCCTGGTCCTGCTGGTCCAAGAGTAAGTGTTATTTAATTAACTTTCAACAATTTCTGGCATTGTGATTTTAAAAGAAGGCACACTTTCTCCTAAAGCCACTGATGACCTTCCTTGCACACCTCTTTTATTATCAAATGTGATCCATAGAGATCAGTAGATTTCTAAGTTGATAGTTGACTTTTCTGTTTAGTTACTCAAATTTCCTATTCAATAACTACATGGTCGTAAGACACATAAATGAACTAATGCAAGTATTGTAGTCAGTGATTTATATAGACAAGTGTGAGACATTCATGACAGTGGCTCAATCCAAGGGAAATTAATAACTTACTAAGATCTAATGTCAGTTTTTGCAATGTTTGTTGATATTCACAGTCTAAAGCTGATTGTATACATCTAATTTATACAGAAAAATAAAATAAAGATATAGTTTGTGGATATTAACATAACTGGAATGATTCATTTGCCACTGAAGTATCCCATTATGTTGCTGGTGATCATAGACCTAGGAAGCCCAGAGTTAGTATTTTAAAAGTCCATAGTACAATAAAAGCAAGTTATAACAAAGTCTTTTGATACTGTTGCAATGTTAACCTAGGTGATAAATATTCTGGGTCACAAAATGCCACATTATAGTGATATTTAGATGTGAATTGAGAGATACTACATATATAGTAAATTGATAGATACAAATATACACACAATTGAGGAGTTGAATATTAAAACTGTTACATCATTATTGCGTGAAGTTGAAAAAAGGGGGCAGAGATATAATTTTTATCTATATCTGACATTGCTATTCCACTCTAATGCCACAATCTTTTCCTTTGACTGCTGTGTGTAATCAACTTCTATTTTTACCTATGGATTTATCACAGATGCAAAAAAAAAGAAATAAATTCCAAAGATTGGACATTATACTTTAGAAGTAACACATTTTAGAATCATAATCCCAGAACATTAGAACTGATTGAGACTTTATAGATTATCTCATCCCATCTCATCATTTTACAAATGGAGAAATTAGAAACAAAAAAAAATTTAATTTGCTGAAAGATGGCAGAACAAATGTGAACTGTGGGTTTAACATGGTATCTCTGAAAGTGACATCTCCTAATTTCTGCTTTACAGGGGGAACGTGGTCCCCCAGGTGAGAGTGGGGCTGTTGGTCCTGCTGGTCCCATTGGAAGCCGAGGTCCTTCTGGACCCCCAGGGCCTGATGGAAACAAGGTAAAACTTTGGGTTTTATACTTTGTTGGCATTATACCCAATAATAAATATACTCTTTATAAGAAAAGGAAAATTTTTCATATTTTTATTTATTTCCAATTCTGTGAAGATTTCCACCTTAGTAAGCAGTCCAGGGGACCTAAATTATTCCAAAAGAAAAGTGAGGCAGAGAGGCCTCAAACAGTAATGAATTAGTGTGATTTTACCCTTTTCTCATTACATTGTTTATGCCTTTGTTTGAAACAAGAACCATCCTATATATGGGGACATTATTTTCAGAAAACAAACTTTATCCTTTCAATATCCCACCCTTGAATTAAAATTTTTAAAAGTTAAATTTTAACAATGAGAGTTTATAATAATGAACATTAACTGGATACTATATTCACCCTCCCCCCCCAAAAAAAAATAAATTTGAAAGCTTGTGTTTTAAAACAGAATCTGTAGTTCAGATTTTAAAGTGGATGGAATTATACACGTTTGGAAAACAGATTACTTGAAACACAGGAAGAAGAAGGCAATTCGTATTAACTTCTGATTCTTACCTTCAAGGCAGAAAATGTGTAGAGTCGTTGCAGAAGGTTATTTTAGTATGTGGAAGGATATTATAGGGAATAAATGAAAACAAGGTAAGAGGGAGAGAAGAAATAAGAAAGGAAATAGAGTTGGGTTAGATGATCCTTTCATTGGGACTTATTCATCTCAGAAGCTAGTCAATAGTTTTAAGTACATGAAATTGTGAAGGTTCATACAAAATGGAATCTATAGTCTCCTCTTTTAAGAAAACTAAAAACACAAATATCTCCCCAGTTGATAAGGTCTCTTTCCATGTTTCCCCCCTGGGTTAAGAGACTTATCCTTGAAAAAGGTTTATGGACATACATTTTTCACTCTCTGCTTCCCATTGTCCCCATCATCTCCTTCTCCAGGCCAGTCTTCCTTAAGAGGATTGGAAGCAGGTTATAGAAGAATCACAGCCACCCACTCCCACTACTCTCTTTTCTTTAGTCATTGTGTCATTGATAGCATCTCCCTGTTATATTCTCCCTCTTTCAATGTCCCTCCTTTGTGTCTCTAAGCAAGCAAGAATGCTACCTATTAAATGTTTAAATTGGAATTCTTCAAGAGTTTATTTCTTCATTTTTTTTTTTCTTTTGCCACTGAAATAATTGATTTCGCATGTGTTTGATTCAAGGGTGAACCCGGTGTGGTTGGTGCTCCAGGCACTGCTGGTGCATCTGGTCCTGGTGGACTCCCAGGAGAGAGGGGTGCTGCTGGCATACCTGGAGGCAAGGGAGAAAAGGTATCTTCTCAGTGTTGGCCCTTAATACATACTATTGATGAACCCTGGCAAAGGGACCACACAAGGATGCCCAGTTTTTTTTACAATTCTTGGCAGGTGGTCTGGTAGCATTTTGATATCTATCTATGTACATTTCCCTCTGCCACCTAGCACCTACGCATTTCTAAACTCACTAATCTGGCAAAATTCCTCACTACCATGGAATTTCACGCAAACAGATGGTGTTGAGTAATACATGAGGCTCATTTTAATGCCACTAACAATAATGCCTCATCCTGCCCTAATTAATGGGAAGAAGCTCTATTGAACAGCTGTCAACCGTGCTGCTGCATTAGTTATGCCGTAAGAGTGATCAGGCCCTGCAGCCCATTGTGATGTTGTCTTACAATTCTGTCCACATGAATTTGTACCTTGCTTGATTATGCGTCAGAAGGGTATATGGAAATTAGGGGGGAAATGTTTGACAATAATCTGGAATGGATCTTGAATTATTATTATTTTTAAAATTTCTTTCCTTGTTCAACATCCTATGGAAGGGTAGGGAATTGAGAAATGTACTAAATATCTTAAATGATGAATGGTATTATAGAGTCTTCTATAAAATCACTTCAGATTAATTTTGATTCAAAAATGTGTTCAGAAAATAAAAAGTTGCTCTTGCTTTATACTTTCAGGGTGAACCTGGCCTCAGAGGTGAAATTGGTAACCCTGGCAGAGATGGTGCTCGTGTAAGTTGAATTTTATTTGAATTGAGAAAGTTTTCAAAAATAGCAAGTTTAGTAAGATAGTATTGCATTCCTTCCTGGATCCACCACTAATAATGTCATTTTTCATGTTCCAAAAGAAAAATTCAACAGGACATAATCTTTTGGAAATCACATCTGGAATTTTCTAACTTCCCTAATATCAAATATACCACCTACAGACAAAAAGCTCTGGGTTTAATAGAACATTAAACAAGTATTTGAAGTGATAATGAGGGGGCTTTAAAAAGTAACAAATGTAAATGCCTTTACATTTAAAAAGCCAGAACTCTTAACAAGGTCCTGCAGTTACTCAGATGTCTGCCCTGAGACTTTGTCTAAGAGCAGCCATAAAGATCAGCTTTTAATACCATAGAGATGCCAAAGAAAATACATAAAAGCATAATTACCCTACCAAGGGTATCAGCATCATGACACTTGCAGGCCACAGTCTGCCTTGGTTCTTTCTTTCACTTCTCCCTCAGAGATGATTTTCTGTAGCCCATTCTTTCCTTTGAACCATAGAGTTCTGACATTTCCAAACAAGGCTAATAAATTTACTGATCTCCAAGTAATTTTTATAAGAGCAGAATTCAGATCTCCCAAATTCTTAGCCTGCCCTCCATTTACACATTTTCATAGCTTTTATTACTCGAGTTCTGTTCTCCTGAAAGTGGCTTCTCATAGTCTTAATAATTAGAATTGAAATGGATCCAAGATTTCTTGATGTCCAACCAGAATGTGTAGTAACAGTGCTCAGTCTCTGCATAGGCCTAGCAGCAGGAATGACAAGGTTCACTTTTGAAGGTGTGGAGTGTTATTAATTAATAAGACATGTTTCCTTTTGTTACTAGGGTGCTCCTGGTGCTGTAGGTGCCCCTGGTCCTGCTGGAGCTACAGGTGACCGGGTGAGCTTGCATTTTCACTAAGTGTAACTCTATGAGCTGATAGCACTATCTAAAATTTCCTGCCTGCCCTAGTCCCAAAGAGCCCCAGCAATTCATTTTTATGGCTTGGTATAAAGCCCACTTATTTAAAAACCTAGCTGTTGTGATAGGGCAGCAGGAAACAAATGCTCTGTGTTTAAAGTTCTCTTTCCCATCCTATAGATGTGCCAGCTATCTGATCTATACTTTAATCCCTATCATTTGTTTTACAGACTTTCCCTGTTGCCCATTAACAATATCCTAATGCACTAAGCCTTCTCAAAGCCTTCAATTGTAAAAAATCAATAAAATACATAGTGTGCCCATTTCACATCAAGCAGTCCACTTAAAATAGACCTTATTTATTGTACTGCAAAGAGTGCAGCAAATAGATCAGCTCTGTGTCCATCTAAAAATTAAAATGTCCTCCTCCTGGTATTGTGGGTTCTGATTTATAGTGTTTTTGCAAGAGAACAACCAATACCACTTCAACTCTTAAAATGAATACAGCATTAAGTAAAGTAAGAATCCACTTCATTTTGCTCTGTGAGATGTACATTAGTTATCTCTTCCAAGAAATCTGCAAACTCTGACAACAGCCCTGTCTACTGCTGTTCTTCGTCCTTCCTGCCTCTTGGAGCACCTGCATTAGGCACATTAGCAGATTCATCATTTGTTCCATTACAGGGTGAAGCTGGTGCTGCTGGTCCTGCTGGCCCACCTGGTCCTCGGGGTAGCCCTGTAAGTAAAAATCTGGATCATTTGGACTCTCATACCTCACAACTTTTGAACATTCATGAATTTAGGATTGCTAAGGCTTTTTAAAATCCCTTCTTCCATCTAGGGTGAACGTGGTGAGGTTGGTCCTGCTGGTCCCAATGGATTTGCTGGTCCTGCTGTGAGTATCACATAATGAAGATTGATCTGACATCATACCAGGTTGGGAAGCAGAGTGAATCAGAATACCAGAGCTATAACAGATCCTTTCCAACAGGGTGCCGCTGGTCAACCTGGTGCTAAAGGAGAGAGAGGAACCAAAGGACCTAAGGGTGAAAATGGTGTTGTTGGTCCCGCCGGCCCCGTTGGAGCTGCTGGCCCATCTGTAAGTTGAATTCACTGGTGGTCAACATAGCCTGTATAGTTATCCATGAGATTTATAATTCAACATACATCAATCAAGTACCTACTGTATACTAGGGAATATACCAGAAAGAAGATGATTTTTTTTAAAAAGTTAATCTTTGCACACCAATTAACATTAAAGTTTTGCTAGTATCATCTTATTTATATTCTTCAATAAACCACAGGGTGGTAATATTTAAGTAAGAATATTTATTTTATATGACACAGATAATAATTTTTCATTTATGGATTTTCTTCTAATGGATATGGGAATGATCCTTTTGGAAAAAGAGTAACATGTATAAGAATCATTTCTTTTGGAGTTTGACCTCATCTTTCTGTTTGCATTTAGGGTCCAAATGGTCCCCCTGGTCCTGCTGGAGGTCGTGGTGATGGAGGACCCCCTGTAAGTATCTACAATGGACTCTGATCACTCTTCTTTCTTCAGATTCTATTAGGAATAACTTGAAAGTTTTGAAGTCTTTAGTTAATTTAAACTCTTACTAGAAGATTCTTGAGATTCAAGTTCATTCTAATCAGAGCAATTCTGATATTGAAGGTAAGATCAGCCACTCTGGATGTTAATCCCAGCTGAGGCTCAATGCAGGATATGTTTCTACCACCTCACTTGAGGTAATACCCAAGGTCGACCCCTAGTGGTTTAACTGTGAAGTGGATAAAATAGTTCTTTATCTTTTTTTTTTTTAATGAAATGATATGTCTTTATTATTTTCAACACAACCCACAGAGTAGTTTTTTTATTTCTCCCTTTTCCTACCTGTCCTAGTCCTTACCCTTGTATCTAGTGTTGCCAGTTTGACTTTCTAGAGATGCAGAGCTCCCCAGAAATGGATTCTACTGAGTAGTGGGAGTGGGTGGCTGTGTATAGTGCCCTAGGTCATTTATTCTTTCTACACACACCCTCTATAAATAACATTTCTCCTTTAGTTATTTTGTTCCCATTCTCTTAGTCAGGTAGTTAAGATAGTCACTAATGTATACAACATTAATGTGTAACAGTGACATAGTGTCTTATATTCTTGCTCTTACAACCATGAGTTAAGATGTATTTCAAAAAGAACAGTCAAAACCTTAATGCAAAACATGGGCACAGTAACTGGTGGCATGTTGATAAGGAATAGGTGGGGAGGAGGGTCTTCAGAGTCCTGGTTGAATTATACCTATAGGAAACAGCCTACTACTTACTCTTTGGTCCATCCCTAGTCCCATCAGGATTTTCCACAGGAGAAATTCCTCTCATCCAAATTTTTGGAGTTAGTTTGACTGAAATTTTAATGTGCTTCATTCTTAGGGTATGACTGGTTTCCCTGGTGCTGCTGGACGAACTGGTCCTCCTGGACCCTCTGTAAGTAAATCACTCCAAATATGTCTCATTTACACTAGCCAAAAAATCTGGCCTCTGATAAGAAACTATCGAGCAACTTAAAAGTAGTGAGCAACTCTCTATAAAAACATATCGCTAATATTTGCTATTACTTTCCTGATGTAAAATCAGTTTTTCTCAGCCATTAAGGCAAAACCATCACAAATTATATTTTATAATATCAATTTAAGAGGCTTTTACTCATGCAAACACCAATCTCATTTTGAGGGCATGATCTCTGTTAAAAATAAAGAAACAGTATGGTTTCAGTCACATATCAGATATTTCTATATCTAATTACCCTTTATGGCTAACATTCTGCCTCCGTTGTTAAGGTATAATTGTTCCTAAATTTAAAGGTGGTTTGGCCTCTAATTTAATTCTGATTCAGACTCTCCTGTCAGGACTCAAGAGAATTTAATTAATTACCAAGGATTAAGTCTTCTGGTTGAGGTTTCAGGTGGGGTGGAAATAGCAAAGATGTTGATTTCTTGGAATCCTTTTACAGGTTCATAACAGAAAAATCTTCATTCCCTGTAGGCATTTAATTAAACCTAGTTGAGAGCATGTGTGGTTCCTAAGTTATGAACAAAATGCCAGTATTGGCTTTCTTCAAAAAGAAATGGGCAGAATCTTCCAAAACCCAAAGTCCCGTTCACTTAAAATTAACTCTCATAACTTTGCATGGTTCTGATTCTAATATGCCAGGGTCCTGGTGGCATGACATTACGTTTTCTCACAGAAGTTTGACACTAACTCTGCCTCGATTTTTTGCTGTGTCATAGCCTCAGTAAATGTATAACAGAAGTTGCTTCTTTCTATGAGGTTGTTAAAAACTCTAAATCCAAACAACAGCCAGAGTAGTTTTGCTTCCTCTCACTACTTGAGTCTTGGTATGTAAAACGTCGGTGGCTCTCTTCCAGGTCCATTATACTCAACAGAAAGTAAATAACCTTGTAAATTTGCCTACAGGGTATCACTGGCCCTCCTGGTCCCCCTGGTGCTGCTGGTAAAGAAGGGCTTCGAGGTCCTCGTGGTGACCAAGGTCCCGTTGGCCGAACTGGAGAAACAGGTGCATCTGGCCCACCTGGCTTTGCTGGTGAAAAGGGTCCCGCTGGAGAGCCTGGTACTGCTGTAAGTAATTTCAAACTCCTTTTTCTTATTGCCTGTTGTTGAGCTAAAATAAAGCCCCTACTCGAATCCTCAATTTGGCATTTATGTTTGTTGATGAGTATTGCAAGCTCTCGCGTAGAGCTCAGTTGAGCCAGGAAATCTGTCCAGCACACTAGGTGCTGAGGCTTCAGCAGATACTCAGAAAGTACATAACAGGAATTGCAGCAAAGGAGGGAACTCACTCTTTATCACGACAGCCCTTTAAGCTGTTTGTCGAGAACACCTAAGTTTCTAGAATTAAGAGAATTCCATTGCTGTGGCCATCCTACTGGACATTCATCAATATCAGTAAGCTACTGATTTCTCAAACATGCATCATCCAGTATGATTGCTGCTTTGAAAGTGCTTTATCATATATGTGTTTTAAATTTCAGTAAAGTTGCCAGGCACAGTGGCACACGCCTGTAATCCCAGAATGCTGGGGAGGCTGAGGCAGGAGGATAGAGAGTTCAAAGCCAGCTTCAGCAAAAGCAAGACACTAAGAAACTCAGTGAGACCCTATCTCTAAATGAAATACAAAATAGGGCTAGGGATTGGCTCAGTGGTTGAGTGCCCCTCACTTCCATCCCTAGTACCACTCCTCCCCAAATTTTTTTTTCAGTAAAGTTTTCTTTAAAAAAAAAAGTGAAAAAGTGCCTTTATTAGACCTTAGAGGCCAAAATTAAGATTTGCTTCCCTGCATGGAGTGTGTGAAAACTCTATCCCCCTTGCAAATGGCCTCATTAATTTCAACTACATATTGTTAAATGTTGTACCATTTATCTTAAGGAGGAATTGGGTACAAAAAAAATATATACATGCCAAGATATAAGCTCACTGTCATCACCAGAGAAAAGATTTCAAGGATACATACCACTATTAGGACATAAACCCTTTTGTAAACTCATTTTCATAATCCTCAAACTAAACTGTATTATCAACCAGGGTCTTAAACCAGTAATACTCAGTATTTTTTCTCTTGCTTAGGGACCTCCTGGCACCCCAGGTCCTCAGGGTCTTCTTGGTGCTCCTGGTATTCTGGGTCTTCCTGGCTCCAGGGGCGAACGTGGTCTGCCAGGTATTGCTGGTGCTTTGGTGAGTGTTTGACACCACTCTGATTCTCATTAACATAATAAAAGATTTTAAAAGCTGCCACTTCAAATGTGACAGATTGATCACTGAATAACTCCACTTAAGATTTTTATTCATGGCATTTTCTTTATACAGATCACATGTCACTTATCTAAGAAGCTTTAATACCACCTTACTTAGACACACACTATAAAGACACAGCTTAACATTATGCAGAATGATTTTTGTTCTTTCTACACGCTTAAGAACTATATAAGCTCTAATTGCATTTACTCCTCTGCAATATGAAATGCTGGCATCATTTATCGTGCAGGAAGAATGAAATTCTGGAAATTCTGAATCATCCCATTTAACCTTACATGTGACAGCAACCAGAAATCATCTCATCTCCATAAACTCTTATCAACTATCTGAATTATTTTCATTTGGGATATTGGATGCAACTAGGTTTGCTTTATACAGAGCAAAATTCTATAACTACTCAATACTGACCTTCTGAGTGTATAGAAGGCAGGCAAGCACAACACTAATGACACCTCCTGACGTTTTGCAGTCCAGTTTTCCTTTTTTTTTTTTTTTTTCAAACTAGAATTGGAGAGTGAGGTTAGCATTTCATCTAATGAGAGAAATGTTGCTTTATCTTCTTTAGGGTGAACCTGGTCCTCTGGGCATTGCAGGCCCTCCTGGGGCCCGTGGTCCCCCTGGTGCAGTGGGCAGTCCTGGAGTCAATGGTGCTCCTGGTGAAGCTGGTCGTGATGTGAGTACCACACTTGGTTTGTAAAATAATACCGAGAAGGATCTCATTGTGTGGAACTTCGTGTGCTGAGCTAAAGTCCTCTTGTTCCAAGTTTCTGAACTAGATGATCTGTTTTTCCATAACATCTACATGTAATGAACTCACAGGACTGAAAGATATGAACAGTTTCTTGAGCCGCAGAATGGGTCTTTAACTATCACACTTTACATTTGGGGCTTAAATATTAAAAATATCTCAAAGAAAATCTAGCTTGGAAGACCCTATCCCTTTAACAGTCTGAAATAAGTTCCCTTGAAGGGGTTGGGAGATGAAGGGGTTAGTATGCCACAGAGCCTCATCAAGAGCATTAATTTGCATGGTGTCTTCACAGGGCAATCCTGGAAGTGATGGTCCTCCAGGTCGCGATGGTCAACCTGGACACAAGGTCAGTACAGGTTTTCATTTTTCTCTAACTTAAAAGTGATGAAAATACAGATTGATGCTAAGCTTCATTTTGCCTTTGGTAGGGAGAACGCGGTTACCCTGGCAACATTGGTCCTGCTGGTGCTGCAGGTGCACCTGGTCCTCATGGCACTGTGGGTCCTGCTGGCAAACATGGAAACCGCGGTGAACCTGTAAGTCTAAATACCATTCCCTTAATGCTATCATCCTCAGGACTCCTCTCGTCTTCTCCACAGTGGGAGAGAGCAGGAGCATGAGAGAAGGATCTTGCGCTTAGCTGATGACTTGTTTCTCTTTTCCCATTTATAGGGTCCTGCTGGTTCTGTTGGTCCTGTTGGTGCTGTCGGTCCAAGAGGTCCTAGTGTACGTACACAGTGAGATTTTATACAAATTAACCCTTAGGGAGAATCCATCCAAATTATCTATTATCTATATCTATTATATATTATCTATAACTATACATTATCTATTCAGAAGTTTGATAATATATATAGGCTAGACTTCAAATTTTAAAATATTTTACTCTATAAAAAAAGATTTGATTCAGATAGCTTGATCTATTTGAAGGCTTTTCTGCTTGTTTGTATTACGTAATCATAGGCATCTAGCCCTTTCACCCACAGCTCAACTAAAGCAGAGATTATCAGAAGAATTGAGAACCTATCTAGACCTTTGCATGTCTCAAGTTACCTTTACAAACAGGGTAAACAGAATTTATAGAAAAGTGAGCATCGTTTTTGAAAAGCTAAAAGTCCTCTCTGTTGTTCTCTTTTCTTACAGGGCCCACAAGGCGTTCGAGGTGACAAGGGAGAGCCTGGTGATAAAGGGCCCAGAGGTCTTCCTGGCCTAAAGGGACACAATGGATTACAGGGTCTTCCAGGTCTCGCTGTAAGTAAAACGTGGCCATTCCACATGTACACTGACCTCAAAGGCCTTGAGCTCAGAAGGACCTCCTCCGCATTTTCACTGCTATTGTTCTAAAACATCCTGCCTCGTGCCCATTTCCCACTCTGGCTAATTCCATGTCTGTCAGTGATGATGCTGTTTCATCCCCAGACGAAAAGGTGAGGGTTAAGGGAGATAGAAAAATACATATATTAAAATCTCCTGGCAACAATGTCCTTCAACCCCACTTAAAATAAACATAATTAGAGGAATGACTAATATTGCACTGTTGAAATAGCTCGTGGAAAAAAAAAATAATTGAATGTAATAGACATAATGGGAGAAAAGAGCCCCACTTTACATTTTCAATTTTCTCAGTCCAGAGTCCATTGAAACTAAAGTTTTCTATTCAATTTAGTGGGGGAGAAAATCTGTCTATTGACATGTGTTCTGAAAGTGTGATTTTTCTGTTGTTGTTGCTCTCTCTTTCAAGGGTCAACATGGCGATCAAGGTTCTCCTGGCCCCGTTGGTCCTGCTGGCCCTAGGGTAGGTGCACCCAAAAGATAGGTCATCTCTGAAATTGAGGCCAACAAGGGCAGTAAGGCCCAGGCCACATCTGCCTGGTGTGGATTTGCTCATTCACATGCACTTGTTTTCCTTCTTCTTTAGGGTCCTGCTGGTCCTTCTGGCCCTGTTGGCAAAGATGGTCGCTCTGGACATCCTGGTAGTGTCGGACCTGCTGGTGTTCGAGGATCTCAGGGTAGCCAAGGACCTGCTGTAAGTATGATTTGGTGAAATGAGAAAGAACATCACTGACTAGGGGAAAATTCTCTTCAGACTAAACCCAGGCAGTTTTGATAACACATTGAAGTAGCCCCACTTCAATATATTTTCTAAGGTATCTGAATATGGACTGTATGCATTGAGGTTTGTAAGCCCATGCCAAGAAGTGTGCCCCGGAACAAGTTACTTACTTTAACTTGATTCCTTGTTGCTTTTATATGAAGCTCCATTGAAAATCTGCTGGCATGGATGTCTCTCTCACTGCAGCTGCATTCAAAGCTTTTCCTTTCTCACTTCTACCTTCACAGGGCCCTCCCGGTCCCCCTGGGCCTCCTGGGCCTCCTGGTGTAAGCGGTGGTGGTTACGACTTTGGTTATGAAGGAGACTTCTACAGGGCTGACCAGCCTCGCTCATCACCTTCTCTCAGACCCAAGGATTATGAAGTGGATGCCACCCTGAAGTCCCTCAACAACCAGATTGAGACCCTTCTTACTCCTGAAGGCTCTAGGAAGAACCCAGCTCGCACATGCCGAGACTTAAGACTCAGCCACCCAGAGTGGAGCAGCGGTAGGTCAAAACGTCCCAGCCACACTGACTGTTCTAACAGGTTGAGCTCATCAAACTCAATTCCCACTGATATCTCAAGTGAAAATGTTTTTGGTATAAAACTCACAGTATGTGAAATTTTAGCCAATTTATGAAGCATCATTTTCTTCTCCCAACCAGTGAGCATCCTCAGAATTCCCTTAACATAGATTTTTGACCTTCTCATGGGTAAATACCCTGCTCTGATTTTGCATGGAGGAGATATGAGAAGGAACTGTCTAATCCGAAACATAGCCTCCTCTTTCTTCCTGATAAATGTGGAACAGAGAATATCACAGTACCATAAAAAAAGTTACTTATGAAAATCAGTATTTTTGACTAATTATTATTAGAATCTATGTTCTACTCAGTAAGAAGGTTAATTATCTGGGTCTTGTTTTCTGAAAAGGTTACTACTGGATTGACCCGAACCAAGGATGCACTATGGATGCTATCAAAGTATACTGTGATTTCTCTACTGGTGAAACCTGCATCAAGGCCCAACCTGAACACATCCCAGCCAAGAACTGGTACAGGAGCACCAAGGCCAAGAAGCACGTCTGGTTAGCAGAAATTATGAATGGTGGTAGCCAGGTGAGGTGTCCTACAAACACTCCTCACTCTATAAAATGTTATTTTCTTAAGATTATTTGTGTTTTACTTGTCTGTGTTTCGCTATCTTACCAGTTCTGTCCTTGACTGTGAAAGATGGGTTGAATGGATCAAACACGTAATATGGTTGATAATCATTGGAAAAGCAGGCCAATGTCATTTAATGTGAAGGTGTGCTGGCCAGCAAATAGCTATGCATATGTGCTTTCAGAACAAAAGCAGTTTTCCTGAATTTTTAATCAAACTTTTTTCACCAACTTTGTTGAATCCCTTTTAGATTTCCACATATTAGAGACATATTATAGAAAAAGGTTGGCTTCTGAATCTCTATCTCATTGCTATGTGCACATTAATGCTTACCTAAAACAGGTGCCATTATTAAATAATCTCACCTTAGCCTAGTAGATCTTATGTCCACCATATGCTTCAAAGACAAGTGAACTTGAGTTTCCTTAAGAAGTACTTACTTCCTAAGACTTGGATATAAGTCCATTACTCCTCCTTTTACCAGACTGGTTTGGTTCTTTGTTGTTGTTGTTTTAATTTTACTTTTAGAATCTGAGTTCTCCACTTAACTGGGATTCCCATTTTATCCTCTGCAGTTCGAATACAATGTAGAAGGAGTGACCTCCAAGGAAATGGCTACTCAACTTGCCTTCATGCGCCTGCTGGCCAACCATGCCTCTCAGAACATCACCTACCACTGCAAGAACAGCATTGCATACATGGATGGGGAGACTGGCAGTCTGGATAAGGCTATCCTTCTGCAAGGCTCCAATGATGTTGAATTTGTTGCCGATGGCAACAGCAGGTTCACTTACACTGTTCTTGTAGATGGCTGCTCTGTAAGTAATATTAAAATGTGGGAATAGTATTTGTTTGGCGAAGTGGGGTTGGGGGAGTTCTAGCTTAGATCATTAGATGAACAGATGAATGACAAACCTAACTTATTCACTCTTTTTCATAAAGATATTTACTTAAATTCAGACGGATAAATCCAGAGAATTCTTATCAGATAACTGCCTTCAGAAGTACTCTGAAGTGCGGAAATAACTACTGTGTGTATGCATTAGTTGTTTTTCCTTTAGCTTAATTCTTACATTACAATGTATGCCAAGAATTTAAATTTTGAGATTTACAGAGCCTATAATTTTAAAATTTGCAGTCATGTTGTATTTTTATTTTACTTCTTAGTATGGCCTATATTTAATTTTTTTCTTTAGATATTTTTTCTTTATAAAAAAGAAAATATGTAACATATTCCCTTCAATATGTTACAATTAGGATAAAATTTAGACTTCATTCATGGCAGTACTACATACCTACCCAACTCCCTCTTCCCAAATACACACACACACACACACACACACACACACACACATCCCAATTTTGAAAATGATATTGTAGAAATAAGCCTCTTGGACTATATTTAAATGCATCAAAACTTAGGCTGGTCTGGGCAGAACCTCTCCGTAAAGAAATGCTTGACACTACACTCTCAGAGACGAGTTTGTTGATCTGGAACAAAATCGTCAGAATGCTATAAACAAGTCAAAAAGTGCTTCTTATAAAATCTAAAGTGAGGATGTTACCCAGTGCAGGAATAATCCTACTTTACATATCTCTTTCCTTCCTTTTTTTTTTTTAACAGAAAAAGACAAATGAATGGGGAAAGACGATCATTGAATACAAAACAAACAAGCCTTCTCGCTTGCCCTTCCTTGATATTGCACCTTTGGACATCGGTGGCGCTGACCAAGAAATTGGTGTGGACATTGGCCCAGTCTGTTTCAAATAAATGAACTCAACCTAAATTAAAAGTCAAAAAAGAAATCTGGGGGGAAAAAACACTTTTTCTTTACCATTTCCTCTTTTTCTTCTTTTTTAACTGAAAGCTGAATCCTTCCATTTCTTCTGCACAATTCCTTGCTTAAATTGTGGGCAAAAGAGAAGAAGGATTGATCAGAGCATTGTGCAATAAGATTTAATTAACTCCCACTCCCTCTCCCCCTCCCCAAAAGATCTGGAATTTTGTGGTTTTTTTTTTCAACATTCTCACACCTATTGTGGAAAATGTCAACCTTTGTAAGAAAACTAAAATAAAAATTGAAAAATAAAAATCGTGAACATTCGCACCACTTGTGGCTTCTGAATATCTTCCACAGAGGGAAGTTTAAAACCAGAACTTCCAAAGGTTTAAACTACCTCAAAATGCTTTCCTGTGGGTGCGATCCACCTCATCCATGCTGACCTAGACAGACATGAACTGTGGTACTTGTTTTTGTTCATAATACAAAGGTGCTAACTAATAGTATTTCAGATACTTGAAGAATGTTGATGGTGCTAGAAGAATCTGAGAAGAAATACTCCTCTGTATTGAGTTGTATTGTGTGGGTTTTTTTTTTTAATTTGACTTAGCATCCGTATGTTTCATCTCATCCCCAACTAAAGGTATGCACATCATTTGCCCAAAATCGCCCTCTTCTTAGATTCAGCATTTGTTCTTTGCCAGTCTCATTTTCATTCTCTTCCATGGTTCCAAAGAAGCCTTGTTTCTTAGACAAGCAGAAAAAAATTAAATTGTACCTATTTTGTATATGTGAGATGTTTAAATAAATTGTGAAAAATGAAATAAAGCATGTTTGGTTTTCCAAAAGAATATATTGAGTAAAATTCCTTGCTTCAATGCTCTTTGCAATGTAAATATGCATCTCTACCAGCCATTAGACTAAGTGCCTCTCATTAGATAGAAATTGTGCAAAAAAGGGCAGTGTAATCGGGTGTTAAGAGCAGAACACAAGGACTGGGAGATCTGAGCTTTAATTCTGACTCTGTTCCTTATGGCTGAGTGATTGGAGCTTCTGAGCCCTGTGTTTCAGTTTCTTATCTATAATACGGAGGGGAGTCCTTCGGTGCATTATTAAACATTAGCCCTGCTCAGAATATGTAAAGCTTAAGCAGCACAGCATCGTCAACCTAAGTTTACTATAAGCAAAGGTCAATAAAAACTTTTGGTTTATTATCCATTAAGCACTTTGCAACTGAAAATGGCTGAAAGCTGGTCTATGCACAATTAATATTATTAACTAAAACAGTTTCAAATATTCAGTAAAAATGCCATACACTTAAATCTGATGCAACTGAGTACAATGCCTGTTAAGAGGTAATGTGTGTGCTGTCAATCAGCATAGACAGTTGTGGATAATAGTACCATGAACACCTACCTGCCAAATCAAGTTCATTTTCCTCCCCTGCACCTTTCAATGACATCTTTAATACACTTAAACATAGTAATGTGTCAAGTAAAATGTTAAGATTCATTTAGAACTTATTTCCTGTTGCAGAACATAATTGTGATTGTAATATTTGCCTCCTGTTATAAGTCATCTCAAGATTCAATTAGTTTTTAAAGCAAAAGACTGAACATGAGGAAAATCTAACATTAGCTCTAAAAAGTTATCAAAGTCTGCTAACCAAATGCTAACCTAAAACTATGGTCCTTCTACCACCAGATCAGAACACTGAGGTGTTGTTAAAATGCAGATGCACAATTTTCATCCACCAAAATCAGATTCCATAAGGAATTGGTATTCATAAGCACCATGGGAAATTCCAAAGTGCACCAATTGAGGGAACACCAGATTATGTTATCTCCATAGTCCTGCTTGGCTCTAATGTTCTACATCAGCAACACAGAGAAAACTAGACCCTGGAATCAGAATGTTAGTAGCCCCCATAAGTGAGCAATTGGAACAGGCAGGGCAAATTTATATGATAAAACAGAAATCTCTGAATGAAATATAAGCTATGTCCTCAGGCTTATAGTGCAAGGGAAAAAAGAAAACACCATGTATTAAGTACCAACTATAGGTCAAATGCTACTGAAATAATAATAACAACCTTTGATAAAATGAATCTGAATCCACAAATTTCCAAGCCAACAGTATCTTAATATTTAAATCATTCATCAGTGTGAACAGAAAAAGTCAAATAAATAAGGGTATTTTTAATGGATAACATGCAGAAATGTACTTTATGGTGTATCTAATAGATAACATTAGGATAAATAAATTTGGGGTATCCTAATGACATTTAGGAGGATGATTGAACAGAAGAAAAACTGCCTTTTGAAACGGCCAGTCTTTAAAATGTAATTTCCAAGTTCAGTGTCACTATCATAGAAATATATTAAAACGTGCATTTTAAAAAATGCTGTGAGTTGGTGCTCTAGTGGAGGAACGTTAGGAATGATTTCTAGGCCTAAGTCTTCTAAATTTGCTATAATGTGATTTTATTACTTGTATCATTTACAACAAATTAACTCAAAATGGTATGAAATGAAATTAGTAGTCAACAAATAAAAACAATGTCCGTGGAAGAATGATTATCTCCAGGGAAAAAGGGTGGCCAACTTCCCAGACGCCTAGTTCCTGAGAGGGAAGGAAAAGCCCCACCTGAGTGTCATCAGCCAAGCACCAAACACCCTGGAAGACATCGGTAGCTGCACAAAGCCATAGCAGACAGCAGCATCCTTAGAGTTCTCAGTTCGATTGCAAATCAGAATAAACTAATGTGTGAATAGAATTTTAAACACTGTGTCCTCTGAGGATGGCAGAGGCCACTATTAATTCATTAGAGGGACTCTCAGGAAATTAACCTCAGTCTCATGTAATACAGTGATATTTAGATTGAACTGGCCCCTCTTGTCAGAGATCTCATTTCACCTTCAAACCCTCTGTGTGGCTAAATGCTTCTTCTGTGGAAGCTACATGTTAAAACAGTATGGTACTTTCCAAGCCAAGTGGTCTACCTTGAGTAGACTAGGGTCTGGATTCAAAAGAGTGGACATAGAGAAATGTCCTGAAGACTTGACTCTTCCATAATCAGTCTCCCCTATGAAGCTAATCACCAGGCCTAAGGGATACTTCTCATGACATTTCCTGATCCTTGACTGAGAGAAGGTCAGCCACCTCTAACTTGTGTGAGTGTGAAAGGGAAGAAGATTTCACACCATAGAGGGAAGAATCGGGTAGCCAAGTTGTGGGGAGGGTATATTAATCAAGTCTGGTAAAAAGGGTCATTTAAAATTCTAAAATCAATACAGCTAATGCACTGGCAAAGAGCAAAGACACCTGAACAATGCTGAACACATTTATTATCTTTAATGCCAAGAGACTTTTTTATGCTATTCCACTTAATATCACTGAAAAGGAAGTTCAGAAATTGGATTATAGATAAGAAAAGTTAGAAATGTCATTCTGGGTCAGAACAACAATCCATCTAGATGAGCACTTTGCCTTTGACAGTGGCACCAAGGGAAATTCGGGAGAAAGAGTGGTTGGCACTTCTCGTGAAGCCAGCCTCAGAACTCCCATTTAATAACCCCTTGTAAATCTTCTTTGTACATAGATGTATCTAAACCCTTCCAGAGCCCTCTATCTGTTTTGAAATATGTTGGTATTACAGTACCAACAGGAGAGAGCTAATGCTGAATTGTTAGCTCAGCTTCCTGGTCCTCTGATCATATAGCTAAAATATGTTTCCTAGCCCTGGGCCTGGATCAGCAAGGGATTCAACAACTCTGTATCCTCAGGGAGCACCAGTAACTGCAGCAAGGGGGCCATAGGCAGCAGCACTAGCTCCACCATTGACTAGTTAAGGGCCCTTGGGAAAGTCTCTTATTTGAGGATCGGATTAACATCCCTGCTCTCAGAGATCTCAGTTAGCATAGGGACTCTGCCTATCTCGAAGAACAGCTAGGGAGGGGACAAATGTGGCCTGTGCAAAAGCATGGAGTAAAATACAGGCAATGTTACTTGTTATCATTAGGTCCCAAATGCTCAGTCACCAGCAGTAACCTCTTGATTTATTATCACCAGCCCACCAATTTAGAGAGAAGGGAATCTAGAATTTAAATTTGATTAGCACTACTCTCTAAATTGATAGTCTGTCCATTTTGAGTTGTGCCTCCCTATCAATAAAAATTTGAGCTCTTACAACTAATTTTGTTTATCTGTCTACATATAAATGTTATACATGTACTATGGTCTAATATATTATGTGCAATATAAAACTTCTACAGAAAATAAATATGAATAGTAAAGTCCATATCTCTGTGGATAATTTTGCACTCCACCCACCCCATCTGCCATTTTAGACGATTGCTCTGAACAAGGATTTATGATGGGCTTCGGAAGGGTCAATCAATGAACTCCTCAAATAGCATGTAAAATTTTATATGTACGTGCATTTTTCTCAGAATAATATCCACAACTTTCTTCAAATATTCCTATGGGATCTATGAGTCAAAAAATATTTTTCACTTTATTAAAATTTGGACTTTTTGAACTATGGTCTTCATATCTCGTCTTGGGCATCTTAGATAAAATATGTGGCTTCTCTTAAGACACAAGAGAACTAACCAGCTCAAATTAAAATAAAATGTTTCCTTTAATTCTTCTACTTCCTTGTTGTAAGCTTTACATCCTGTGTCTTACCAGGTTCAATAGGTACCGTAAGGCACAAATTTACACTTAGCAACACCAAAATGCACCTGCCCATAGGAGCTCTTGTTTTTTTGGGTTTTTTGTTTTGTTTTGGTTTGTTTTTTGGGTTTTGTTTATTTGTTTGTTTGTACCAGGGACTGAACATAGGGGTGCTTAACCACTGAGCCACATCCCCAGCAATTTTTATTTTCTAATTTTGAGACAGGGTCTCATTAAGTTGACTAGGGCTTCACTAAGTCACAGAGGTTAGCTTTGGATTTATAAGTCTCTGGGATTACAGGTGCAGCCCATAAAAGCTCTTCAAAATCAAACAAATTAAATAATGGAGGTCAACTAATGAGCTATTTATTTTAGGCAAAATATAAGTTTTCCTAAGTTATTTAATTTAATTTTAAAAAGTTAGTGATAGAGTTTAGCCTAGAAATAAGTGTACTTCTTGGCACCATAAAATGTGTTTTCCAGGGACCTCCAAATCTCTTCATAGAACCAAGTCTCCTCATCTGGCTGCTCCTAAGAAAACGTATTATTCTGAGTCCAAGGTACAAGAATAATTTGGGCCAGAATTAGGAATCCTACTGGAATCTAAAAGATAAACTTAAAACTTCAATTTCACCATGTATACAAAAATTCATAAACACAAAATGCATTTTACCATCAAAGTGAACATTTCTTTGTAAGTGTAGTATTGCTCTTGGTACCCATGGCTTAATTAACCATAAACTGAACGGGAGAAAAAAGAACAGAAATAATCTTGTGGCGATAGAATGTATTATGCCAGGAAGGATAAAAGCACCTGCTCATTCCTACTCCGCCCAGTGGACGGATGGCTTCTCCCCTGCAGATGTCACTTCAAGTGCACTGCTCCCCCTGCTGGTTGGATAGTAGAACACCCTGGTCCTTTCACTGCCGTAAGCAAACATCACTGGAGAATGAAAATTCCAGAGAAAACAGAGCCGCTTTCTGTGCCTATTTCCTGTCGCAGACACACAGCCTTCTCTCCAGCTTCCGTGGTGGTCTGTCTCAGGCACTCAGTGCCCTCTCTTTAATTGCCTTCATTGATCTGTTTCAATATCTCTTCCTTGGAACTGGCAAGTGGAAGTCACCAAGAGGCAGACCTAAGTCCCACAGAGAGTGGCTTTTGGCGTTGAGTGGG